GTTCAGTATGCGGCGCATCAGCTCAACCTTCAGCCCCGGGTCTCCTTACCAAAGACCTCCCCCACCCAGCGGTGGACGGGGAAGGTTGGGGATGCGCTGCGTTTCGGGTGTGGGGATCTTGGGCGTTTGTCCGCGACTTGTCTGCAGACAAGTTGTCCCCCGGTGGTGTTCCCTGCGTCTTCCTTAACTTCCCCCCTGACGCGCCTGGGTGGCAGTTTTACCACCCCACCTCGCGTCGTGTTCTGTCCTCCCAGGACGTCACCTTTGACGAGTCGGTGCCTTACTACCGTCTCTTCCCCTACCGCGCTGCGCCCCTTCCCCCACCGCCACTCTTCCTTGTGCCAGGTCCTCCCCCGATAGACCCCCTCCCCCCTCAGGGTCCTGCCCCGTCAGGTGTGTCCCAGGTAGACGCAGTCGAGCCTGTCGAGGTAGCTGTTGACGCTGGTGCTGCTAGAGGTGCTGAGCCTGCGGGTGCCGGATCTGGAGGTGCTGAGTCTGGGGGTGCTGAGCCTGGGGGTGCTAAGACTGGGGGTGCTGAGCCTGGGGGTGCTGAGTCCGGAGGTGCTGAGCCTAGGGGTGCAACGTCAGGGGGTGTGGAGCCTGGGGGTGCGGAGCCTGGGGGCGCTGGGTCTGCTCGTGTGGCCGCCGGCGGTGCTTCGTCAAGGCGGGAGCCACTCTCTCCACAGGAGCTGCGCGAGTGGATTGCTCGGCGCTAGAGCCGTGCTGCTTGAGCTGGAGGTAGTACTGTTGCTGCTGGTCCCGGAGGTGCTCGTACTGGCGGTACTGGAGCTGCTGGGACTGGGGGTGCTCCTGGGGCTGCTGGAGTTGGTCGTGCGGGAGCTGTTGGCGGTACTAAAGCTGCCGGTCCTGCTGGAGTTAGTGCTGCTGGAGCTGGAGCTGCTGAGGGTGTTGGCGCTGGTGTTTCTGCTGGCACTGGTGCGTCTTTGGGTGTTGGAGTTGGCGCTGTTGGAGCTGGAGGTACTGCTGGCACTGATGCTGCCGCTGGGGGTACTAGTGCTGTCCCTGCTGGTTCTGGAGGCGCTGCGCGGCCGAGGCCGTACTTCGTTCCGCTCCTTGAGCAGGTTCTTGGTCTCCCGCCCTCTACTGGTCCTGCTCCTCCCTTAGAGTGTCCACAGTCTGTCCAGTCGCGGTCACTGTTACATCCCGCCTCCCCCCTGCCTGCTCCTTCTCCCTACACTGGTCCTACTGGAGGTCTTGCTGAGCGTCGTGAGCCTGCGTCTCGTCCTGCGTCGCCTGTTTGTACTGCTCGCACTAGTCGTTGTGCTCCGCGTCCGCGTCCTCCTGCGGTCCTTGGCACACACCAGATGGCACTGCGTCCTTCCGCTGCTCCTCTGCGTGTCCCGTTGCCGTCTCCTCCAGAGTCCTCTCTTCCTGTCCTTACTGGCCCTGAGTCTGACTCTCTTCGTGCTGCCAGTCCTACCGTCACGCGTCTCCTGGCCACTGTTATCACTGACCCTTCCTTTGAGTCCACTGCTGCGTCTGCCTTAGTGGCTGAGCTTGTCGACTTCGCTGCTCGCCGTCGTCTAGACTACGCCACTAGTCTTGTTGCTGAGTCTGAGTCTGTCTGTCCTCTGTCCGTTGGCGATGAGTGTGCTCTTAGCACGGACGTCTTTGAGGACAGGCAGGAAGAGTTCCAGTGTTTTGCTGCTGCTTTGCCTCATCTCGTGTCCACGCTGATTGCCCCTGAGGGAGACCCGGATGCACCAGACATCCCGACTTCTCGATCGTACGCTGAGGCGATCGAGGGTCCCTACTCCTCTTAGTGGCAGTCAGCCATGGACGCAGAGATGGCTTCCTGGAAGTCCACAGGCACCCATGTCGACGAGGTTCCCCCACATGGGGCGAACATCGTCAGTGGCATGTGGATTTTCAGGGTGAAGCGGCCGTCGGGTTCTCCACCTGTCTTCAAGGCGCGTTACGTGGCTCGAGGCCTCAGTCAGCGGCAGGGAGTTGACTACTTTCAGACCTTCTCTCCCACCCCGAAGATGACCACTCTTCGGGTGCTGCTGCACATAGCCGCTCAGCGCGACTACGAGCTTCACTTTCTTGACTTCAGCACAGCTTTCCTGCAGGGCAGCCTGCACGAGGAGATCTTGCTGCGCCGCCCACCTGGCTTCACTGGGTTGTTTCCTCCTTGTACCCAGTGGAGCCTCCGGCGGCCAGTCTACGGTCTCCGCCAGGCGCCTCGTGAGTGGCACGAGACACTGAGGACTACACTTGCGGCTCTTGGGTTTGCTCCTTCTACAGCCGACCCGTCGCTGTTTCTGCGCACCGACACCTCTTTGTCGCCGTTCTACATCCTCTTGTACGTCGACGACTTGGTCTTTGCCACTGCTGACACTGCTGGACTCGCCCACGTGAAGTCAGAGCTGCAGAAGAGACACACGTGCACAGACCTGGGTGAACTGCGCAGCTACCTTGGCTTGCAGATCACCTGGGACAGAGCACAGCACACCATTACCCTGACTCAGTCACACATGGTGCAGCAGGTCCTTCAGCGCTTCGACTTCACGTACTCCTCGCCTCAGGCCACTCATCTGTCTACTCGCCACTCGCTCTCAGCTTTGCCTTCGGATGAGTCCGTAGAGCCAAGTGGCCCGTACCCAGAGCTTGTTGGCTGCCTCATGTACCTGATGACCAGCACACGACCTGACCTTGCATTCCCTCTTAGCATCTTGGCACGTTATGTTGCTCCTGGGAGACACCGACCAGAGCACATGGCTGCAGCAAAGAGGGTGTTGCGCTACTTGTGCAGTACGTCGGGCATGGGGCTAGTGCTTGGAGGGCGACGTCGAGTGGTCCTCACAGGTCACGCAGACGCTTCTTGGGCTGACGACCAGGCTACGGAGCGGTCGTCACAGGGTTACACCTTCAGCCTTGGCTCCGGTTCTGTTTCGTGGCGGTCTACCCGCTCTTTTTCTGTTCTCACCTCCAGTTGTGAGGCTGAGATCTATGCGGGGGCCATGGCTGCACAGGAGCTACGCTGGCTCACCTACCTTCTGACTGACCTAGGAGAGCCGCCTTGTTCTCCTCTAGTTCTGTACGTAGACAACAAGGCCATGCTGGCCTTGTGTTAGGAGCACAGACTGGAGCACAGAACGAAGCACATTGCTCTTCGCTACTTCCTTGCTCGTGAGCTGCAGCAACGTGGTCAGCTACGCCTTGCTTACGTGGCCTCTGAGGCCAACACTGCGGATATCTTTACCAAGGCACTTCCGCCTTGTGATCATCAGCGCTTCCATACGATGCTAGGTCTTGTGCCTACTTGGCCTCACTTGCTCACTTCTTGACCTTGCTTGTACTGTGATCTTTCTATACCTGCACTTGCTTGTTTAACTTTATATATATATGATCTTGCATGTGAACTGCCCTTGTGGCCTTGCTCTTGTGCTCGGACTGTGTGGTGACTTTGTGATCCACCCTGAGCTTGCTTTGCTTTGCTTGACTGGTCTTGTGACCCCTTGTTTTCCCCCACTATGCCTATGGGGGTGTGTTAGACTTATATGACTTAGCCTATGTAGGCTATAGTGGGGTAGCACATATGGGGTACAACACATTTCTAGGGTTTGTACTTGTACCCAACTTTCCCTTAGTCATTCTCATTCCTCGTTTCTTATCAAATCACTTCAGTCATTTAGATTCACACTGATCTGATCCTGTCTAAGTCCCCTTTGGGATCACGAACCAGCACCCAATCTCGCAATCCAGAGGAGGACCCCTCCTAGCTAGGCGTTTAGCTCCATTATTACTTGGCTTCTTTGTATGGTGAGTAGTTGCACATTCCCGGTATTCACGTTCTAGATATTGACTTCTGCACACTCTATTTATTGAAAGCTCATAGCTCACTCTTTTCATTGTACTGCGGGATACCTTTTTGAACTGCGATGTGCGCCGTCTCGTGGTGACCCCACCCACAACGATCATCCTGCCCCTCGGTCATGATCATCTTGTGATGGACGACGGGCAGTAGGCCAAGTCACCACATCTCCTTTTCAACCTGATTCCTTTTTTCCCACAGTCGGCTGGTACTGTAGGTGAACCCGAGAAACTGCTCACTCCGTTGGTTCAGCTGGATGTGCCCTGTCAAGCGGAACACCGACCGTTTGGGCAGATGCCTCCAAGCCACTGGTGCAGCTTGCATGGCAAGCAAGCTCCCGTTGTATTGTAGTAGGCTTCCGTGCCCTGTGGGAGATGGGTGATTCCTGCTTTCGAAATCCATTGGATGACTATTTGCTCAATGGCCAATCGGATCTGCTAACCCATCTCTGTTGGAGCCTTGCTGTCAGACCTCTCATCTCTCCACCTCGTTTCGCACGGCTGCTCCCGCGGAATCGCCGAATTTTACCAAGCACGCTTGCCTTGTCTCATCCTCCTCTTGCCTTCCAATCCGAGTCAGCCTTGAGTTCTATTTTCTAGTTCTAATGGCTGTACAGTAGTTCTACACATGGCCGCGGAGCGAGGGAGGCGATTTGACTCGTGCAGCCCGTGTGTACCACGATGTGAGCACGCGGAAGCAACCACTCAGGTCGGGTTTCAGGATTCTGCCCACCGCCGATGAGGAGATAATGACTAAGTGGTTGAGATTCCGTCTCAGCCATCTTGCTGCGAGCGCCGCCGTGCTCGTTGCGTGGTCACTTGCCGAGTTCCGAACGCCATTGGGCCGGGGAACCGGGGAACTGCCCGGCCTCAGGCTTTTGAATGCTGGACAGATATATCATGGAGGAATTGTTGCTCTCAGAGAGCATACGGAGTCGACGGCCAGAGGGATTCACTAGCCAAGCCCGTCAAGGTTGCATATTCCGCGCAACTACTACTAGTAGTAGTAGAAACCGGACTAAAGGAGTAGAAGTTGTCACGCTACGAGCTTTGCGATGTTTCAGTCGACTTTTGTCAAACAAAACCTCAGCCAGATTGAATCTCACCAGCCGTCTGCCCTCTTCCTCCCCCAATCCGGCTTTCGAGGCTCTTGTTTGATCGCCATGGCGCATCGACTCGCGGCGTCCCTGAAGTTTCGGCGGGCGGCGCAGCATGTGATGGAGGGCGTCCTCCCGCGCGCCAACCTAGGCGGAACTTCTGATGGCGCCACCCCGGCAGGAGCAAGAAGCGTGAGTGCAGAGCAGGCGGCGGCAGCACCACGGACGAACCTGGAGCGTGGGGAGCATCGTGAAGGTACAAGAAAGCATCAGCATCGACAGCATGAGGAGCATGGAACGGCCCGCCGCCCTTCCCATACCTCCCCCGTCGGCCCCTCTCTCACCCGCCGCTTTTCTCGCTCAGACTCCCCCACTCTCCCCGACCACTCATCCGCCCCTGCTCTCTCCGCCAATTCCTCTCTTTCGTTGGCCACTTCCCCTGCCTCCGCCACCCTTCTACCTGCCGCCTCTGCTTCAGAACCTTCCTCGTGCACCACGTCTCCTTCGCACTCCCATGACTACCCGGCCCTTCACATCCCCTCCGCCCGCCCGTCACCACCAACTGGTGCACCGGCCACGCTTGTGCTCCTCCCCAGATTCAGCGCTCCTACCCAGCGCCCAACTTCAACACACAGCCGTGGCACAAGAAGGCCAGGCGTCAGCCCTGCATCCAGCCTCAGAACGAGCCAATCTTGCCCAGATCATCTGAGCTCTGCCGAACAAAATTGCGAGGTCCGGCCGGGCCTACCACCGAATCGCTCCTGCCTGAGTCAAGGCCGAACCTGCCGCAGCCAGATGCTAGGAGGTACGAGCCCAGAGCTAGATGCTTCAAGTCCGATGCAAGCTGCAGGTCCGAAGCTGGTTCGGCGTGTGTCGTTCAACAGCATTGTGCGTGTGCGGCGGTTCATCGAGCTTCCTCCTGATGCTGACGGCTGCTGCAGCGACGATGGTGGGAGCTGTGCCAACGGCATCAGCCAAACCAGCAGAATCATTGCATACAGCAACCACAAGCAGCAGCAGAAGCAACAAAAGGCAGGAATCCTTGACTGCAACCCTTCCAGACATGAACGTTCAAACAGACACCCTTCTGCCTCCATTTGCCTCCAATCTTCGTCCTCCTCAGACTCTCCCTCTTCCCCCTCCTCCCCTTCCTCCCTCTCCTACCCCTCCTCCGCTTCCTACCCATCCTCCCCCTCCTACCCGTCCTACCCCTCCTCGCCGCCGTCCTCATCTTCCTCCCCATCCTCCTCTTCATCACCTTCGCCCCACTCCCCCGCACCCCCGCCTGCCCACATGCGCACGTCTCTGCCCCCGTCGCCCAAGGTCAGAAGACTGAGAGTGCAAATGAGAGCAGCAGCAGCAGCAAGGCAGGCAAGCGAGCAGGGCGTGGGGGGCACGAGTGGTGGGATTTTCTTTTGATGCTGCAGGCTGCAGGCAGACCACCCACAGCAGCAGGCAGGCTGGCGAGCAGTCTGTGGTTGCTACATGAGCGGTGGGCTTACTTGGTTTCTTTACACATCACTCTGGAAAACACCAGGTTTGTCTGTTCTTTGTTAATTCTCGCTTGTATGTGTGTCCATATAGGTATAATACGTGCTTTAACATTGTCGTGTACCCCCCCGGATAGAAGCACATTCTTTTATTTGGTGCATGCGCCTGTATCCCAACTACTGTGCTTATAGGCGGTTGCCGATGGAGTTTTTTTTTTTTTTTTTTTTTTTTTTTTAAGCTCATCTGATCAAGTATATTATTGTTAAGATACTAAGTACCTGGGAACTAGGTTTGGGCTTAGGAACAAGCATCATGACAAGAGGGAAGCCAAAAGAGGGGTTTCACTAGAGGGTTTGAAGTACAAATAGGGAAGAAGCAAAAGGTGCACCACCAACACTTTATAATAATAACTACACTAAACTACAGCAAGTAGGATACAACATAAACATAGCATTGACACACCTCCTTATCCTGCTTGCGATAGGAATCAGTGCAATCAACAATTTCTGAAAGGGTGAACAAGGTGCAGCGGTAGACGTCAGAGGGTGGTAAGTGAGGGAAACGACGAGGCGAGAAAGGGAGAGGAGAGGAGAGGAGTATTGAGGGGAAGGTAAGAGAGAGGGATGAGGCGAGGAGGTGGGGGTTGGCCGCAGCGAGACGGGACGGAACGGGAGGCCGCGACATCCCCGCTTACGAACCCCCTTTTACAAAAGGGGGGGGGGGGGGGGGTGAGGGAAAAGGAGTGAAGGTGGGGGGCCATGTCAAAGGTCCACTGGTGATCCCCGATTGATCCTAGGGAAGGGTTACAAGCATGTTGGCCTGGGGGGTTATGGGCGCATTGATCCGTTACTTAGCAAGCCCTTCTATCCCAATGGTTAGTGGCTGGGATTCTGACATGGTATCAGAGCGGACGTCTCGGGTTCGAATCCTAATGTGTGCACTTCGGGCATCCTAGTGCGGGGGGGTGTCAAAGGTCCACTTGTGATCCCCGATTGATCCTAGGGAAGGGTTATAGACACGTTGACCTAGGGGGTAATGGGCGCACTGACCCGCTACTTAATAAGCCATTTTTTCCCAATGCTCTAGTGGTTGGGATTCTGACATGGTATCAGAGCAAAGGTCTCGGGTTCGAATCCCGGTGTGTGCACTTCGGGCATCCCAGTGCGGAGGGGTGACAGAGGTCCACTGGTGATTCCCGATTGATCCTAGAGAAGGGTTACAGGCATGTTGGCCTGGGGGGTTATAGGCGCATTGACCCGCTACTTAATAAGTCATTTTATCCCAATGCTCTAGTGGTTGGGATTCTGACAGGCCATGCATGAGTGTACCAACTCCATGCCTGCGATCCCTCTTAATAACCTTCACCACTCAACTCAACCACCCCCCTTTAACCTCACCCCCTGAATTTGCCGTCCCCTCAATTCTCACCCTCACCCCCTTGTCCTTCATGTACCCGCCACCCTCTCACCCTCCCGCCACCCCCTCATCTCCCCCCCGCCCAGCAAAAGCTGCTGAATGGAGGGGGGGGGGGGGGGGCTGCTGCTGGCGGTGGTGCTGGCGATTGCGTTCCGCGCTGGCGCTGGCGCACGTCAATGGCGCTTGCGGCTAGCGCTCGTCGCTGGCGGCCCGCGGAGCGACAGAGGGTCGCGAGGCGACGAAACGGCGCGGGGCAACGAAGGGGGGGGGGGGGGGGGGCGCGGACGACGGAACAGCGCGGAACGACGAGGTGGTGGGGGCGCGACAGACGCGTAGGGCGCACGGGCCGCGTGTGACGGACAGGGCGCAGCGGGGGCGCGACGGACAGGGAGGGCGCACGAGGCGCGACGAACGGGCAGGGCGCAGCGGTGGCGCGACGACGGGAATCGGGACGGGACGGGCGGCGCGCAGGGCAGAACGGGCTGCGCACGAAAAAAAAACGGGCTGCGCGCGGGGTAAAACGTGCTGCACGCGAGGCAGGTCCATTTCCCTGACAAGAGCAGGAAGGTTCCAAGATGGAACTAGCTCTGAAACCAGGTTAAGATACTAAGTACCTAGGAACTAGGTTTGGGCTTAGGAACAAGAATCATGACGAGAGGGAAGCCAAAAGAGGGGTTTCAAGTACAAATAGGGAAAAAACAAAAGGTGCACCACCAACAGTTTATAATAATAAATACACTAAACTACAACAAGTAGGACATAACATAAACATAACATTGGCAATTACGTCGTATATCGAATTTACTGTAACGATCTTGGCCTTGTTCGCAGCCACCCGTAAACAGTCTCGACCCTCGAAAGTCAGCACGGAAGTATGTACAGTACAGCGGGGTCAAATAGGGTCAACTACCAGGGCCCAGTTCCGTTTGTCAGATTTATATGACATAGCTACTGTAGGCTATAGTGGGGTAGCACATATGGGGTACAGCTTTCTAGGGTTTGTACTTGTACCCAACTTTCCCTTAGTCATTCTCATTCTCGTTCTAGTTTTCTCATGGTATCGAGCAGGTTCCCTCGTGGGAACTGTTCCTAGGGCCCATCGATTCGATTCTTTTTTTTTCCTGCCCGAAGCGCGCTCAGTTCATGCCCGAGTCGCGCTCCGTGGGTCTCCCCTCTCACGGCCCATAGCGCACCCGTCGCGCCGCCCTCACGGCCCCTTAGCGGCCTCTCGCGGCCCCGTCGCGGTGCCCTAGTGGCCCCGCCACGTCGCGCCGCCCTAGCGGCCGCGTCGCGCCGCCCTCGCGGCCCCGACCCGCCGCCCTCGCGGCTCCGTCGCGTCGCGCCGCCCTCGCGGCCCTTTCACGCCGCCCTCGCGGCCCTTTCACGCCACCCTCGCGGCCCTTCCTAGCCGCCCTCGCGGACTCCTCAAGCCGCCCTCGCGACCCCCCACCTCCTAGCCGCCCTAGTGGCCTCGTCGCCTACCCCTGCGGCCCCGGCGCCGCCCTTCCCAGCCTCGGCGCCGCCTCTGCTGGCCCCGTCGCCTACCCCTGCGGCCCCGGAGCTGCCCCACCCGGCCCCGACGCCGCTCCACCCGGCCCCCCCGCCGTCCCCACGCGGAGCCGCCGTCACCACCGAGCCGCCGACGCCGCCGAGCTGCTGCCGAGCCGCCCGATCCACCCGAGCCGCCCGAGCCGCCGCGCCAACTGAGCCGCCCAAGCCGCCGGGTTGCCGAGCCGCCGATCTGCAGCTGCTGCCGAGCCCCCGTACCGCCGAGCCGCCCGAGCCGCCCGAGCCGCCGAGCTACCGAGCCGCCGTACCGCCGAGCCGCCCGAGCCGCCGAGTCGCCGAGCCGCAGTTGCTGCCGAGTCGCCGTACCGCTGAGCCGCCCCAGCCGCCCGAGCCGCCCGAGCCGCCGAGTTGCCGAGCCGCCGAGCCGCCCGAGCCGCCCTGTCCGGTAAGAGCAGCGCCTCTGTCACTGCACTGCCCTTACCCTACTGTTCGCGCTGCTGGTCTACTGCTGTCATGGCTACCCCTAGTGTCCTTGCTTTTGACGCTAAGGGTCGGGCCATTGACTTTGACGTCAGGGTAGATGACCTGCAGCTTTTCCTACAGTGCGATAGGGCAGACGGTCTCTCCCTCTTTGACCTCACCTCTCGTGCCTCTCCTGCCCCTATCCCTGATGCCGACGCCACTATTCGCTCACAGTGGGCCACACGCGATGCTGCTGCACGTCTTGCTGTGCGTCGCCACCTGCCTACCTCTAAGCGTGCGCACTTTAGCCAGTACAAGAGAGCTCAGACCTTGTACGACGCTATAGTTGCACGCTACTCCTCCCCTGCCACTGCTATAGTGAGCCGCCTCATGCTACCGTACCTCTTTCTTGACCTTGCTACCTTTCCCACAGTCGCTGACCTCATTACGCACCTCCGCACTAGTGACACTCGCTACCGCGCTGCGCTTCCAGCTGAGTTATGCGCCAAGAACCCCCCCCCAATGTACATCACCCTCTACTACATAGTCACCCGGCTCCCTGACTCACTTCGCGTAGTCAGGGACCACTTTCTCTCAGTTTGCCTCACCACTCTCACCGTTGACCTCATCGAGAAGGCCCTCCTAGCAGAAGAGAAGAGCATAGTCGCTGTAGGAGCCTCTCGTGGTGACCCTCGCACCCCCATCTTTGAGGGGTGCTCCCCCTCCCCCCTTTTGCCCTCTATTGCCTCTACTGCTGCGGCCGACCTCGTTGGTCTTGAGTCGGTCGGTGCGGCGTCTACCCCTAGCGGGAGACGCCGCCCTGGCAAGGGCAAGGGGGGCACGGGCGCTGGAGGAGCTAGCGGGGGCGGTGGAGGCGGCGGTGGAGGCGGCGGTGGAGGCGGCGCAGGGGGTGGGGGTGGCGGTGGGGGTGGTGGCGGGGGTGGAGGGGTCAGTGGCGGCAGTGGAGGCGGAGGCGGCGGTGGCGGCGACAGTGGGAGCGGAGGTGGAGGAGGTGGCGGCGGTGGAGGAGGCGGCGGCGGAGGAGGTGGAGCTGGTCGGGGTGGCGCTGCGCAGAGGGTCGGCTCCGATGGTGGTCAGCGCGAGTAGCAGTAGCAGCGCACTCGTGACATCCCCCCCACCTCAGCAGCTCCGTGAGTGGTACGCTGCGCGCCAGCGGGGTGGCGGTACAGGTCCGTGCACCTACGTCCTACGCACCGGCGACTGCGCCCGTGAGCAGTGCGCGGGTGCGCACCCCACCCAGCGCTGCTTTGGCCGCCTGACGGACGCTTGGCGTAACCAATTCCCGGAGGCCACTGAGATCCCCCACTGGGGCGAGCTGTCTAGGGCGGGAGAAGCTGTCTTTGACCTTGACTTTGATGCTATTCTTGCTGCCATGTATGCTGTGACTATTAGTGCGGAGGGTGACTGTTACCGGTGTTTTCCGCCCGACCCGGGCATTGAGACTGCTGCTCTAGGTACTGGTGAGGCTGCTGCTCTAGGTGCTAGCGAGGCTGCTGCTCTAGGTGCTTGTGCGTCTGCTC